AACGAACCAGAACGCGGGAGCTGCTCGGCGGGCGACGGCCACGGCAGCGGGCTCTCGGGCGGCAGCACCGCGGAGCCGGGGTAGTGCCCGCGCAGCGCTGGGCGCCCGCCCCTCGCCACGCCTCGGCCACGTCAGCCTCCTGCTCTCCAAAAGCAACGTCAAGGTATTTCTGCCTCCCCGCTTCCAAGCGCTCTCCTCGCCATCCAAGTCTCGACAAGCCATCTGTTTGTTTCCAAAATATTTTGTACACGCTGCTCGCACAAACTCCGGCTCCCTGGGAAATGAGGAGCTCCCCTATGGATCTCAAACACGTGGCCAGACCCCTTCGTTCCCCCGTTAAGACAATTATCCAAGAGAAACTTCACTCGGGCTCTGCTAGCACTCAGCAGCACTGATCATTTAACCAGATACTTCTCTGCAACTTTTACTCCAGGAATGTTTTCCTTGGCAAGACCCGAGAAGTTGGAAACTTTGGTCAGAAAAACGTAAGAGCAGCCGGACGCAGCGTGCTCCGTGGATTTGGGAAGATGGAAGAAGCACTCAGGGTTTTACGGCAGGGAAAATGGCTCACGGCAGTGCCTGCACGCGAAGCATTGTCCATCATCTTCGTGCTGCCTAAAGCAAACGGGACGCAGGGAAAGGCCGGGGGTAAAAGCACGGAGCGGCTGGTGACAGCAGGGCAGCAGCCTCGGCACGGCACGAGCCCGGCAGAGCCGCCGGCAGCACATCAGTCCCTTCACGCGTCCTTACTCGCAGCTTTGTTTACAAGCGCCAGGATCTCGCATTCGCCATCCCTGTCCCGTCAAGCCCGCGTGAGGGTGGGACGCTGCCAAAGAAATCGCTCACCCGGGGAAGATTTGCTGCGATAAGAAACAAGCACCGGCCCATTTCCATCCCCGCAGCCAAAACTACCCCGAGTCGGCACGCGGGCGCTTTCCGTCCCAGCAGACCCAAAAAAAACCTGCTCCTGGATAAACCCGCCATTGAGCCGACACAAACCGGCTGCGGCAGGAAGCGAAGAGCAGCCGGTGCCTTCCCAACCGGCACCGGCGCTACCAAACCTCGGGTCAAACAACCAGGAAACCACCCATGCAAATGCCAGCGGGGGAAGGCTCCGCCGTCTCCATCCTCCTCCATGCCGGGAAGCACGGAGGAGACAGAGGGATGGCGAGACACAAGATGGATGTTTGAGCGAGGCTCTCTGGATCACCGGAGGAGAAAACCAGCTTTTTTGGTGCGGCAAATGCTTTTAAGGAGGCCGAGGCAGGTGCAGGAGGCGGAAGGCGCAGCCGGGTTAAAGCAAACCCCTCCCTGCCCAGCTTGTTTGTCTGCAGCAGCCTCGGCTGCGGTGAGCTGCACCTGGTCGGGGCCGGGTGGACAGAGGAGAGGAGAAGAGGCACTTAATTTGGCTCTCGTCTCTACGCGCCGCCGGCGCGCCAGTCCCCGACAATGCTCCTGCATGGTTATTTTTGGGCTTTGCTCTTACTGTCCCGCAGCCAAAGTTCCATCAGCTCCTTGCTGGCACCGGGGCGGTTTCCAGGAGAAGCAGCTCCTCCGACGTAAAGCTGGAGCAACCCAAAGGGACACCGTGGCCAGCACACGGCAACCTGCCCCTCCGAGGTGCCGAATTTGGCTGGGGCAGGAGGAGCAGAGCCGTGGGGACTCCCCTACCCCACTCCTTTACCTCCTAGCTGGCGTTAAATCTGCTCTGCCTCCTGTTTACAGCCCTGGAGCGGAGGGGGCAGCGGGTTTCAGGCCCCCTCCGTTGTTTTCCGGGGAAGGCAGGAGGGTTTTGCAATGTGGCCGGCACTGGGAAGATGGATTGCCTCGCACTCGTCTCCTGCTTGGAAAAAACCCCACCTCGTACAGAAAATGTTTCCTTAACGCCTCAACCATGCACCCCAAGGGTTACCCCAGCCCGGCACCGCGTGTTTACGGCTGTTACTACCAGCCTTGGGAATTAACCGCGATCGGGAGAGCTTGGCCAGGTTTGGGTGACGGCTGCAGCGAAGCACCAGCAGTTGGAGGCTGTTCGGCAGGACGGCCGTGCTCCCGTCCAGCGCCCGGCGACCCTTTGGGTCCAACCACCCGGCAAGAGCCGGGTCCCCTGGAAATGAGGGTGAGCAGTATCGGCCAGGACGACTAAGGATGGGCTTTCAGGGACGCCAAAGCCAATTTTAAATCTTTCGGTCTGTTTTTCATCATCCAGCCCAAAAAAACCCACTTGGGAAAAGCTTGGCTGGAGGGAGAGGCACCGACTCTGCTCCCGGGGAAGAGGGAACCACGCAAATCCCAATTGCATCCCGGGTGGAGGAGAGGCGGCACCATCCGAGGACCCACAGCCGGCGATCCCGACGCCGGCGTTTTGCAACCACGGGGAAGGCGCTCCGTCCGTCTGTCCTGACTGTTAAATAAGAACAGGCCTGACCTGACCCAGAGGGTATCGCCAAGGATCAGCAGCAAACAGCTCCGGTATTTGGAGATCACCGGCGTTACAGAGGCGCTTATCACCGTAATAACCCATTAGCCAAACGAGCCCAACTCTGCAATCGCTCCTTATAAGGCCGGGAAAGCTGCGGGGAATTAGGACTCTCCTAAGGAGACTCAGAGCTGAGTCACCCGGCATGGCTGGGGCCGGGGAGCGGGGCGGCCGCCGGCATGGAGGAAGGCGGCTGAGCACCGGCGCGGTTCTTCTGCTGGCGCCTTCGGGGGAACCCTCCGGTTGCCAAAACCTGAGCAAAAAGCCAAATCACCGAGCACCGCTGCCGGCTTCGCCCCCTTCGCGGGGAAATTGGGGCGCCGCGCCGGCGCAGGGCCGGCCTTGGGGCGCTGCCAGCCCCACCCAGGGCCCGTCCTCACGGCGATGGCCTGGCTGCTGACGGCAATGGGGAAAACCCAACGATAACGAAGGGAAAAACACGAGGCCCTGCTGTAACCGAAGGAGGAAAGCGCCAGAACAGACTCGCTGCCGGCTGCTCCCCCCCCCAACCCCCCCCGCCACAGCCCCGTGGCCCCTGGGAGCTGCTCCAGGGGTGCATCACCCAAAAAAACACATTATTCGGGGACAGCTCGACAACTGTGCGACGGCTGGGATTCCCGGGAGCCCCCCAGAAGCGTGATGGGGACCAGCGGGACCCCAACGCCGACACCGGGGCACCCCTCGCTGGGCTCCGCCGTCCTCGCCTGCCCCAGCGGGGCTCACCCGAGCCCCGGTGGACCGGCCCAGCGAAGGTCCCGGGGACGGGACGGCCGCGGACCCCGGCAGCAGAGGGACCCCCGAGCCCGAGAGGGGCCGCATGGCCCCCGCAGACCCCCGAACCTCCCCACGGCTGCCGGGCGAGCCCGGG